TGCAGCAGGAGGTTGGTAAACTCCCCCTAAATTCAGGTGGGTCTGTTTCTAGTCTCAGTGACTTCTGAAGACTGAGCCTTTGCCTGCATCCTTCCTTCATTCCCCAACCTTCCACCAACCCCAACATCTGGAATAACTGGGCTTCTCCTGGATCCCCTCCCAGGGCTGGAGTTGCTCCAACACCATCCTGGTAGCTGGAACCTTTACTACTGCTGAGGGCCTGCCTGCTTGGCCCCTGAGTACCACCTGCCTCACATTCTCTGTTGTGGTCTATTCTCATCTCTTAGAGTCCTCTGAAAATTTTGTTGTTGTTGTTTTCCATCTGTTATGCCTTCAATGGCTATCTTAATTGCCACCTTCAGATTCTTCCCAGCTATCTTTTCTGCTGTAAATAGCTACAAATCACTACTATTTTCTAGGGCCTGGCAGAAAAAGTAAATAAGATGAATATGAGCTAGCACATACAGGGTAAAATAGCTTGGAATCACAATAAACCAGACAAAACATTCATAACATTTATTTAGTGTTTTTAATTTCCCAAGTTAGACAACTCTGGTTAATTTCACAACAACTTCGCGAGGTAAGCAAGGCCCTAAGTGCGTGTTTCTGTAAGACAGAAGTCTAGTGTAATTCTAAGATACATAAACATTAGAAACAAATGATCTCTTTGTCCTGAATCCTTACTTCTTGTGGTTTTGAATTTCTTTGTGCTATAAATTGGGCACATGTGGTCAAATTTAGGGTAGATGGTGGGGATCAGAATCTATAGGCCTATAGGTTGAGGATACCGCTGTAATGTGTACTGAATTCAGTGGTTGAGGATTTCACAGTAGCAAGGTAGTCACCTGTCTAAAATCATTTATTCCTGAAAATCTATCATTGCAGAGTAATTATTTTTGGTCTTGGATGATCCTGAGTCTTCTGTAGTTCTCCTTTATTTTATTTATTTATTTATTTATTTATTTATTTATTTATTTATTTATTTATTTATTTATTTTAACGTTTTGGGTTTTTTTTATTGATTTGTAGTTCTTTAAATTCAAACATCTGAATCGGTAAGGTAACACTTCAAAGTTACTCTTTGCAAATGTATTAATGAGGACGCTATCAGTTAACTCAGGAAACTTGAC